CGCCCCACAGCTGAGCCTCACCCGAGCGGGCCGTTACGAGCCCGTTTACCTAGTCCTTGTTCAGCCTAGCGTCTGTGTTAGAGCTGTTGGCCAGATATTGTTATTAGCTATTATTCGATCATCATTCTTCATCATCGTTATTATCCACTCACGGATATTATCATACGATTGTCGATCGGGTATTATTATTACTGCCATTTATTATTCGAGTATTATTACTTTTTTATACAGTTATTATTTAATTTATTCGGTTATTATTTCATTATTGTTATTACGCATAGGAAAGCAATTCGGGCGTGCCGTTATGACAATTTCTTTACCTCGACTTTGTTCAGTTATTATCACCGTTGCTCAGTTATTGTTATTCATTGTTATTACCGATTATTCGATCATCGTTATTCCGTTATTATCCACTCGCGGATATTATCACACGATTGTCGAGCAGATATCACTATCACTACTATTCAATATTCGAGTATTACTACTTCTTTATTCGATTATTATTTAATTTATTCGGTTATTATTTAGTTATTGCTTTGCAAAAAAAACAATGTTATGTCAGTAAAGTTTTTATGTCCGGAATCCCCTTAAAAGTATGCTGGAGTGGATAACGAACAAAGTCAATAATGCAGAGACGATCGTCACTAACTTAATCACGCTATCCTTTTCGTATTTCTTGTATATACAGAATTTACAATGTGTGTTGCTTTGTTTTACCATGTTTAGCAGAAAACCTAACCATATATGTGTACAAATCTTTCTGCAGAATTTTTCGATATTCTTAAACTTGTAAATGCAGATGTGAAGGTGCAATGTTCTTCAAAATTTTTGTTTGGAGCATTTACACTTTCAGTATGTACAAGCTGCGGAACTGTTGAATTAAGCAAATATTACGCTAACTGACAGCTTGAGATTTTACATTAAATATTTTTTTTTTCGTTTTCGTTACATATCGAGCAATACTCCTATTTATTTTTGCACGCATTTACCATTGCGTAAAAGCATTTGTAATCCTGTGTACCCAGATAGCACAGAAGTTTCAAAAAGCTTTCAGAAATGTTTCTGAAACATTGCATCTTTCTGAGATCTTTCTGAAATCTTTCTGAAAGCTTTTTGAAACTTCTGTGTTTTCTGGATAACTAATACGACATAAATTTTGCAGAAAAATGTCAGTGTTCTGTCGACAAAGTTTTCAGCTTCAGCATCTCCTTAAGCGAGTCGATGTTAATGAGAAGTGCAATAGACGCCGCGACAAGCACCGGCTGTGTGTGTCGAAAATCAAGATTACTTTCTAATAATGTACTCACGATACATCCCGACGATCGCACATCGCTATTTCGGCACTCCCGATACTTATTTCCGTGTCAAGCTCATCTTCGATAGATAAAAGATGCTTAGAGAACGCGGAGCGATGTCGATCGCGATGTGTCAGTGGAGACTGCTCGTCGCGAAAAGATCGATATCCAAGATGGTCGCCCAATCACCGACGTAGTGCCGAAAGTGCGCGCCAAAACGTGAACGACGTCACGGTTCGACAAGGACGCGCTCTAGTAGCTTCGCCTCTCTCACTTTCGCGGACGGACCGACCGCGCGAGATCCGTCGCGTATATCTCTAGCGTCGTTTTTCTTTCTCTTTTTCTCGGATTATCATCGCGATTCTAACTCCTCGTTAGTAAATCCGACGATCGTCTGATTCTACTATTACTTGAGCGAATCAATGTTAATAAGAAGTGCAATAGACGCCGCGACAAGCACCGGCTGTGTGTATCGAAAATCAAAGAGATTGCTTTCTAATAACGTACTCACGATACATCCCGACGATCGTACATCGCTATTTCGACACTCCCGATACTTATTTCCGCGCCAAGCTTACTTTCAATAGATAAAAGATGCGTAAAACACGGAGCGATGTCAATCGCGATGTGTCAGTAGAGAGTGTATGAAGTTGGCACCTCACTTTTTGAAATTTATAATTTTGAAAATTGTTTCAGATTGTTCTGACTTTGTACCACATTGTTCCAAAGTGATATTGCTTCATTCGAAACGGTTTTCGAAAACAAAAAAAATTATTTTTTGAGCTGGCACCCCACTTTTCGAAAATCGAACATTCTGATACCGCAATAGATTGTTCTAGTTGTTCCAAACATTGTTCCAAAAGGACAAATCCGTAAGTTGAATTATAAGTCCAAAAAATTTGTCTTTTTGGAACAATGTTTGGAACAACTAGAACAATCTATTGCGGTATCAGAATGTTCGATTTTCGAAAAGTGGGGTGCCAGCTCAAAAAATCATTTTTTTTGTTTTATTCGAAAACCGTTTCGAATGAAGCAATATCACTTTGGAACAATGTGGTACAAAGTCAGAACAATCTGGAACAACTTTCAAAATTATAAATTTCAAAAAGTGGGGTGCCAACTTCATACACTCGACAGTAGAGGCTGTTTCACGAAAAAATCGATATATAAGACGGCCGCGCAATCGACGTCGCAAAATGTGCACTGCATAAATATATATATATATATATATATATATATATATATAGCTATTATTTAATTTCTTATTAAATCGCTGATTAAAGACGAGGTAAAGAAATTGTAACGCCCGAGTTGCTTTCTTATGCGTAATAGCAATAATTAAATAATAATCGAACGCATTAAATAATAACCGAATAAAGAAGTAATAATACTCGAATATTAAATGATAGTAATAATATAAAATGATAGTGATAATAATATCTGCTCGACAATCGTGATAATATCCGCGAGTAGATAATAACGAAACAATGATGATCGAATAATCGATAATAACAATACCAGGGCAACGGCACTAACAAAAACTCTAGGCTCCACAAAGGCTAGGTAAACATACCGTCGTAACGGCCCGCTTATGCGGACTGAGCGGCGCTTGGGGGGAAGCGCGGCCGGCTCTTGTAAACACGCGTGCGCGAGCACGTGCTCGAGCGTTACGCCATAACACTCTCAACCGTCGAGACGAGCACATCGGGAGCTGCCGCGTTATTTTCTAAATTATTCCATACCGATTTTTAATTCGCGTTTCGACTTCGCGACAATTGAGGCGATAATTAAGATTAATTAAAACGCGAGCACTCTTCATGTGAGCAGGTGTTGCGAGCTTTACCACGATAGGTAATTACCGCGTTTCATTACTTTTTTATTTGTTAGATAGAGAAACGTCGCAATCGAGTTCCTCGATACCAATCAAATTTTATCATCATTCATTTCTTATTTGAGTATTATTACTTCTTTATTCGATTGTTATTTAATTATTTTTATTGCGTATTGGGAAGCAATTCGAGCGTGCCGTTACGACGACTTCTTTACCTCGTCTTGCTGTCGTGCGTAATTAATTGATACTACTGGATATTATTATACGGTTGTCGATCAGATATTAATATCATTCATTAATTAATCGGGTATTATTACTTCTTTATTCAGTTATGATTCAATTATTTCTTATTGCGCATTGAGAAGGAACTCGAGCGTGCCGTTACGACAATTTCTTTTCCTCGTTTTGCTGTCACGTGTAACTAACTGATACTAAATTATTAAATTACTAAATTAAATTAAATATCTGTCACAGAGATTCAATAGAGCAGACGCAGTCATGCAGGCTCTAGGGAATGCGATGCCTGGGAGATGCCGCGCGAGAAGGATTCGACTCGGGCTTTTCTGAGTCGGCTCGAAGGTGAGTTTCATTAATTCGTACTTATAATTAGAAATCCGACAAAATTGAAAATTTTCTTGTTCAGAATCGAGTTCCTTAATGCCTCCATCGTCATATAACTAATTAATACTTAATTAAATCTGTTTTTTGTTACAGAGACGAGCACTCGACTCTAAGGTGATGCTGCGCTGGAGGATCCAGCTTGGGCCTGGTAGAGTTGACGCGAAGGTGAGTGATTAGTTTCACTAATTTGAATT